AGTCTAACACTTATTTGATAATTTTTAATTAATTGAAATGGCCTTATTGCAGATTAACTCCCTTCCCTCAATATTACTGTTTTGTTTCCCTTGAAATGAAAACTACAGTCATTTGATGCATGGCTGTAAATGCTATCTAGTTTATAGGGGCATAAGTACCCTGCTACCCTTTGCTGAAATTTTATTTTCTGTTTCATAGCTTCTTTAACAAATACTTCTCCATGAAACATAACAGATATCAGTACACCTCATAAACCAGCAGTACGCTGGGAGGGTGTTTTTTTCCTCCAGTAAAAGATAAAAAGAGTTATCCCAACACTGTACCAAATCAGAGCCCTGAGTCTTTTCTGCGACAGTGCCTGTCAGTTCTGCTTGCCCGGGGCAGACCTAGTAAAGGGAAAGCACTGGAAATTTGTTCTCCAAAGGTAGCAGTAACTGGGGTATGATATACACATCTGAATTCAAATAATCCTGCTCTCCTTAACGAACCTGAAGGAGGAAGCACAGTGTGTGGGGGAGGGCGAGGGGTGTCCTGGTATACAAGCTAAACTTCTGATCAGCTTCAAACAGCACCTTTTCTTCTTTTTATAATCAACTTGCCAGACAAAGATTTCCTTCTCTTCCCCTCAGTTTCCCTCTCAAATAGCCTGAGTTCCAGGATGGGCAAGATTCAGTCCTGAACTTGCAAAATTTTGGTTCCTAAATTGGTCCCAACTCTTTGAGGCTCCAAAGAAGATTGCACTGTGATGCATAATGCAGCCGCCCCAGACTCCTGTAAATAAAACTTCATAACCCACCCATTATGTATCCCATATTTCTTGGAGAGAAAATACACCAAGAGAGAGGCAGAGACACAAGCACACAGACATGTGGAACAGAGAGCTTGGCGTTTCCTTTGACAACCAAGGCTACATCTGCAACCATATCTGTTTTTACCGTTTGACGGGCATGTAATAATCAAAGAATACTAAGCTGTAATAATGTTAAGAACACTGCATGTGACCTGGTCAGCGAGGTGATGTGATTGCATACTGGATAACCAGACATCCCTGTATTAATGTTCTGTTCCAACATAATAAGGGGCTGTGGGAAAAACAAGCAGGGAAACAACTCTGGATCCAGATAAGCAACCGCGAAACAAACCTTGGGGGGCAACTGAAAGACAACGGAGAAAACCTATTAGCTTTGAGCATCCTACATCTTGTCTCTAATGAAGAGACACAGCTCTTCCACAATGCTGGGAACAGAGAGCTCAAGAAAACATTAAACGGTTAAAAAGCCATTGGGGGGGGGGGGGGGGCAAATGTCAGGGGCTGCCAGGGGGACAAGGTGGCTCTGCGAAGAGCGGGATCCTTCCAGAGAACCGGAAGCCCTAGGCAAAGGCCGCCAAGTGTCTAGACAGTTTATTGCTTTCAGATCGGTTTTCTCTGAAATGCTTTTGTTCTAAATAAATACTGCTGTTTGGTCATGGCTGTCCTAGCTCCCAGAGGGAGTTGCATGTAGGCACTGCCAAGAACTCAGGTCTGCTGAGGTGATCTCAGACCACGCCTAGGTGCCAACTATGAAGGGGAGAACCGCTTGATTCCACCCCAAGCCAGAGATGATGGTGAGAAGCACAAGACCTGAGGAAGGTGCACCTGAAGAGACCAGGAGGGGTCAGAGTCCAGCACTTGTGATAACAGTTACCTCGGCTCCCACACACATCACCTCACACCTCTCATCTAGTCACCTGCTGAATTGTTTCTTAACTCTTGACTCTGAGTGTTCCGGGGCAAGAAGCATCTTTATTTGGCTTATTTCTACAGCCCCCTCACACAATGGGGTCCCCGGGGCCCAGCGTTGTCGCATCTCACAGGATCATCACGAGCCTCAGGAGAGTTGGTGCGTTTCTTAAAAAATAAGTTTCCAGCTCTCGCAGCTGTCGAGAAACGCTTGGAAAACCTGACCTGAAAGGCTCAAAACCCAGAGAGCAAATCAAACGGATCCCACACTGATTACTGCTTAAAAGCCTCCTCATTTCAAAGCCGATCACACAATTTTTAGGGCCTGGTGGATGATTCTGCTTTGAGCAGGGGGTTGGACTAGATGACCTCCTGAGGTCCCTTCCAACCCCGATGTTCTATGATTCTGGAATTTGTGGGGTTGGCGGCACTTGGGGTCAAACATTGCTACTCCTCTCCGGCAGTTTCCTCTCTGTGGGATGAAGCAAGCTGGCCCACTGAGATGCAACGGATCCAATCAGAGAAGTCTAGGGAAAACTTCCCACTCAGACTCTGTTCTCCTGCCATTTAAAAGGTCTATACAGAGCATGTGCTTCTATATTGAAGACAAGGCTGTAATGAGTGTGTAAATTTATTCATTACCTAATTACACATAACAAAAAGGATGAAATACATGCTGAGCAGGCAGCTTAAACTAGTAGCTGACCACTTTCAACAACATCTTTGATATCTCTTTTCCCTTCCAAACTGGATGTTCCCTGACTCCTCCCCGCCCCGGTTAATTGCAGCCATGTGCTATTGCCAATGAGTGGGATTTGAACCTGAGCCAACCAGTGCACATGGGGATCTGCACATTTCATTCCTTGAGTCCAGCTCTGCAGAGAACTGCCTAGGGCAGAAGCCTGGGTGCTTGTCAGGAGCTCCTTACTGAGCTGTAACCCGCATTATGTACTGCAGGTCGCTTTAGTTAGTCCTGCCTGCAAGGCAATTTATGGGTGTTAAGTAACAGAGCCAGACAGAGTGATTAGGCCGTTTGTGGGGAGCTCCAAACTAAAACCTACTTCTGCGGCTCTCTCAAGTGGTCCAGTAAGAGATATATTGGACTATCACACCGAATATTTACTGTACTCCTTTTATCTCACAAGTGAATGTTATACAATTTAAAGTAAACGTATTAATCTCTTTATCCAAAATATTTGTCCGACCACTGGCTGCAGTTCAAAAGATTCAAGGGCACAAGGAACAAACTTTTTTCTTTGCTGATAAAAATATATTTCAGTCTATCACTGTTAGCAGATGAGTAATGTAAATGAACATTTGAACAGCGTTATATAACTAAGGAATCATCTGATGAACTTGGATTAACAAGAACAAAGCTAAATGCAACTTGGATGTCTGAACTTCCTATCAACATGGAACAAATGGGAAAACGCTAAGAAGGTAAAAACTGTAATAATACAGGTTAGACTATGTCAAATGGGACCTGGACATGGTCTTAATTCATGCATACATATTTTCACTAGTTCACCTAGCTATTGTGCTCGAAGTTTAAAATAAACCCAAGGCTTTTCAAGAAAAAGTCCAAGTTAAATGGGAAATTTTTAAGATCACAAAATTACCAGATTCTTTCTAGCAATTCAAACAGGAAACTTATCCTACTTTAGCACTACAAGCATAAGCTCAGATTTTTCAAAAGTAAGTAGTGATTTTGAGTGTCTTAGTTTTATCCAGGCCCAACTTCAGATACCCTAAAGGGAGATCACTTTTCAAAAAGTGCCCTCTGAAAAAGCAGACACCTTTAAGATGTTATGGAGGGGAGGGGATGTTGATGGAGGGGAGTGTATGACGAATTGCCTACAACAGTATGTGGCCCCTCTGTGGCTGCTATTAAGCAAGCATCTTCAATGACCTGGGATGGGACACTAGAAGGGGAGGGCTCTGAGTTACTATAGAGAATTCCTTCCCAGGTGCCTGACTGCTGGATTTTGCCCTCATGCTCAGTGTCTGACTGACTGCTGTATTTGGGGACAGGAAGAATTTTTCTCCCAGGCCAGATGGGGAGAGACCCTGGTGGGTTTTCGCCTTTCTCTGCAGCATGGGACATGGGTCACTTGTTGGATTGAACTAGAGTAAATGGTGGATTCCCAATAACGTGCAGTCTTTAAATCATGATTTGAGGACTTCGGTAACTCGGCCAGAAGTTATGGGCCTATTACAGGAGTGGGTGGGTGAGGTTCTGTGGCCTGTGATAGGCTGGAGGTCAGACTAGATGATCATGGTGGTCCCTTCTATGTCTCAGATTAGGCACCTCAGACTTGATGCACTCAAAATCACTAGTCACTTTTGAAAAATCTTGGCTTAGGCTTTCAGTGGGTGAATTAGGATAATTTTCCTGTTGTCGCTGTTGCTGGAAAGACTCTGGTAATTCTGTAAACTTAAAGTTTCCCAATGAACTTTATCTGTGACAAGGAATAAAGCAGCATTTACTTCTTGTGAAATTGAACTCGCAGGAATGATCACTAGCAAAAGATTTAGCTCATTAACTCGCATATGATTTGCACACTGTGCATCTTGTCACATCACCTGAAATATCCTGCAATCCCCAACTTTCTCAAGGCACCACTCTCCAAATATTTTGGCTGCCTATAACATATTTGGTGCAGTGTAGCTGCACCCCGATACATGCAAATTCAGCTGAGGCTGATCAATTAGTGAAAACTGTGTCTTTATTTGAAAGCACGTTTCAGAGACCTGTTCTGAATTCAAAGCCAGTATGCTCTGGACACAAGTTAAAAGTTGTGCTGTTCTAGGATGCTCAGTTTTGGATCTCTGCTTTTCTCATTTCACTTTCATTTACGGTCTGTAATCTGAGTTCTCCATTTCAGGCATAGCCATGACCTACAATCTCAAAATGCTCTACATAATGTGCTCTCTCTCTGATGTTCGATATTCTGTACATTTGTACCAGACGTCAAAACCGAATACAAAACATAATTGTGGCAGAGTTAAAGTTTTCCCTGACTCTACCAACACTGCTGGTACCTTTCTCAGGAAACTTCCTGATACTTCCAGTGTCTGAATCTGGCTGAATGAAACAATTGTGGGGTGCTAAGCATTAGCTAGGCTAGATTTTAGGGGCTACATTCTACACAAACAACATCCTCCCTCCAGAAAAATACTTGTTATACTCATCTCCCATATTCCACCCAGTTGAAATGATTCAGGAAGCGAATGATAGCAAAGTGAGATTAAGCAATGTATGTGTTAGACAGTCCTCACCTTTAGAGAGTCAAAGCAGGCAATAACTCGACCATTTTCCACATGGCAACTCCGTGACGGATGGGCAAACTTGCACTCTGCATCAGATCGAGAACAAGTACCTCTCTGAAATTCTCGACATACTTCTAAAGTCAGCCATTTTGTATCACGAACCAGGGAAACGTTTACAGCCATATTAAAAACAAAAATTAAAACACAAGCAATCACACCCTTCTTTAGGACAATATTACTGCTGATTTTTTTTAAAAAGGGTAAAAAAGTGAATTCAAGTTAAATGTGAAGAAGTAACTAACTTGTTGCTTTGGTAAAATTTCTATTCGTCAGCACTTAGGTTTTCATTTAAGTCAAATTGTGTTTGTTTCAACAAGAATTAAACATAAAGCCAATCATAAAATAGAAATCTTATCAGAATAACTGAAAATCAAATGAGAGGCCAGCTCCTAAAAGTGCAATTGTAGAAGTTAAAATATAAGTGTTATATTTTTGTGCCACTGCCAAAGTTACTTGAAAATAACTGGCAGACTTTCAAAAGAATTCTGTGCTCTCCACTTAATGGTTTCAATTATTCTTGCAAAAAGCATATGCGGCTGGCAGCGCTTCTGTTTGCGGAATGGTCTCGGTCCTTGGGCAGAAAACTTTTTTTTTTACCTTTTATTTCTTGGTTCTAAAAATGACAATTCGCGAGCATTAAAAGGAGCAAAAGGATATTATCACTCAAAAATATTTGCTACATACTCGGGAAGGAAAAAAATGGCTGAGTGAACAGAGTGTAAAAAGGAAAAAAAAGGGGGGGGGGGAGATGGATGAGTTGCCGTTAGGGTATGAACTGCAAGCAATGCCAAATTTAAAAAAAGGGGGGGGGAGGGGTTGGGGGGGGAGAAAGAGACAGCCTTAGACAGAAATCCAAGCAGCAGTGGCTTCAGGAAAGGCACTTTTCAGCAACCTGTAGGAAAAAGAGAAATAGAATCAGCTAAAACAATGCAATCTCCCCCTTGCCAAACTCTAGTTTTAAACAACTGTGTTCATTTTAACAGGAAATCTGCAGCTACTGACAGTGCGGCATAGTGCAGTCAGCCATTGTAGATAAAAAGGGCATTTCCCACATGAAGCTGCGCATGGTAAGAGGAAGCAACCAATTAGATTTACTGTTGCACCAGAAGGTCTGGGCAGCCACCCAATAAAAGAGATTGTTTCATATTGATCTATTCTGGCAGACATTCATTTTTGTGCCCACTGCACAGAAAATGCCTTAGTCTTACATGACGGCCTCTGGTGCATTCGTGATACACCTCTGTGTTTCAAATTTAAGTAGCTTAGCACAAGATTCACTTAATGGGCTGCTCCCAAGATGAGGTTTGGGTTACATACCTGCTCCTGAAATCCAGAGGATAAGAATCACTTTGAAAACTAACCTACTGTAAGCACCAACTGCTTATTTTTCCCCTTTAAAGAGAACGGCTGGTGGCTGTGTGCCACAGTCAGAATGCAGCTAGACAGAGAAACGGTAACACACGAGACCAGGGTGGAGTACAGTCACTATAAAATGGTTTTCAGACAGAGACTACTTAAATTGTTGTTCTGTTTTTTAAATATATTAAAAATCCCCCCTCCCACCACATAGAAAGCTTTCTGGCAGGAAGAGCAGATATTGCTTTCATTGTGTACAAAGAAGCAAAGCAGAAGGCACTGCCATAGTTCAGCCCTCATACGTACTCAGCTCTGCGTCGGTAAGGTGTTTTATTTAACCCAGTGTTAACTGGGGAATACATTTCAGCAGTTGACTGTAAGGTTACATGGAAACGAGAGATTAATTCACAGTCGTGTGTCTATAAATCTGGGCTTGACAAAATCAAAAGCAAAACCGACATGGAAACTTGAGCCACATGCACAGAGCAGAAAAAAATTAACTCATTGTTAACAACTGTGTTTTACGGAAAGGCTGAAGGAGGTTTCAATTATTGTAGTTAGTCAGTTTCCAGCATCTTCAGCATGTTGGACAATAAATGATTGTCCATAACTTTCTATCACTGATTTTCTTTGTGGGGGGTAACATGTTAAGCCATCCCTGGAGTTTCCCACATTTATATTAGAGGCAGCTAACGGAGCCTGACAGGATTAAGTTGGTTCAAGGTTTCTGAGATCCACCTCTTTTTGCAAAACGTAAGGGTCCAATCCTGCAAACATATACATGCATGTAGATCTACTCACATGAGCAAAAGTATGCACATACGTAAGTGTATGCAGGACTGGGACCTCACATTGCAAGAAATGGACATTTAAATTCTTCCTATATTGTAGATATGTTATCAGAACTACATTTGTTAGCAATTTATACATTTTAACATAATTGAAAATGCACTCCAGGTGTCTGGAGAAAGCACTGTCATTACATTTTTGTTTTTTTACACTAAAAAACTAAAATTGTGCAAAGTAAATTCCAAGTATGTGCTGAACCAATTAAAGTCACAGATTTGCAAGAGTGAGAGAGAGTCATGCAAAAGCACGTGGACTCTTACGCACAGTCTTGCATCAGTGGAACAGTCTATAGTGCCAGAAGGACGTCTCGTTTTCGGGTATCAGGCAGAGAACAGAGACAGTGAATGCCAAATTTACCAGACATGATTTAATCTCTGAAGGGGAGGGGGAAGAAAGCAGAACTGGCCCAGTGTCTTCTGGGCTTAGTCAGGAACAGAGGGACTGCTGCTAAACTGATCCTGATTTTGTAGGCAGGGCAATTTTGTGTTTGAATCTGGTTCACTTATGTCCAGCCTCTCAATCCTCCTTTACAAGGCATATGTATGAAAGTACATAGATACATCTCCACAGACAGCTTGGAACAAGCTGGGTGCAGCTCCTAAAACGAGCTAGCACAGGTCGAGAATGGGTGGGGATTAGGTGGAACGCTTGTAGGAATTACTCCTAGCAGACTGAAATACAACTTTCTAGTGAACAGGGCCATATTCCAAAGCTTTACACTCCACTGGAAACGAGGGTCTGTTTCTTTGAGCCTGAATGTTATGGGCCCAAACCCGTTATATACCATTAGTGCGAATGTGTAACAATTAACTACCATCTGCCAGTTACAGGGCTCCTCTCATCCTGAAAGTCTCAAAGCATGTGACAAACTATGTGCTCTCCCTTTCTCTCTCATATAGGTCTAATATAGAATATTGGAGGTGGTTGGCATTTTTCCATTATAGTTTTGTTTTTCATCAAGAATATCCTATGAAATATTAATATTAAAAATGTTTGCTTCCCCCCCAACCAGTTCCAGTACAGAATCATTCATATATATATATATTTTATACACACACACAGATTCTCTCTTACACGTGAACAATCCAGCAGTGCAATGCCCCCAGACACACCTTGCTGGGGCATCACTGTTACTGACTCAGAAAAGCACAGAAGCACATGCTTAACTTTAATCATGAAAGTAGTCCCATTGAAGTAAAAGATGCTTAAATGTTTTGCTAAACCAGGGCCTAAATCACCCACACTACTTCCTAGGTTTATCTTGGATGAGAGGCTTACAAGTACAGAACAGTCCCAACCCAGCTTACGCTTGCATGATTTCACAAGATCACAGCCCAAAGATGTAGGGAATCCTAACTCATACAAGTAGTCACAGACATAACTTGCCAGTTCTGTCAATGGTTAGATTGTTGCAGATTTCCCCTCCCAAGAATATAGATCCCTGTCCATTTTAGCCAATAGGGAAAAATCTAAAACCTGTGTTCTAACATCACGCTGAGGATTTTATACTGGTGCCATGAGACTCAAATAAAACCAAAGGGGAAAGAAAAGTTCAACAAGCCCCACTGCTGACAGCATAAAAGTATGGCTCTTTCCCCATAATTCAATTCTCAGCAGCGTACATTTTGCTTACAGCAGTTTCCACATTTTTCCGGTTCTGTGTATTACCACGGTTTTGATACTGACTGTTCATTCTCCCGTCTATTTCAAATAAGAGGAACAAAACTGCCCCCTTCCCCCCAAAAGCTCAGTAGAACGAAGTTATAAAGGAGGGTCACAAAATATTGCTTTTGTTAATGTTATGCTTGTGGGAAGTTGAGTAAAGGGGGAGAAGCTTTCTTCTAAACTGGTCTGGAGCTGCTGCAAAACATGCCACGTCTGTCTGGCAGGACCTATATCCCGGGCTACCAAATGGAACAATTTAGCCGCCCCCCCCCGCTTCCTTAGAAGTTTTTACGGTCAGGCTTGACAAAGCCCTGGCTGGGATGATTTAGTTGGGATTGGTCCTGCTCTGGGCAGGGGGTTGGACTAGATGGCCTCCAGAGGTCCCTTCCAACTCTGTTATTCTGTGATTCTATGATTCAACAGAATGTCAGCAGAAAGTGATTGCCTTTCCTCCTTCAGTAACCTAGAACCACAGAACGTAATGCCTGGCCCAGCAACAGATCACGACTGCCTGTAATACAGGAGGTTATGGGCTTGCTGTGGAAATCAAAGGGCCCAATTTTGCAGCCACTGAAGTCAGTGGGACCAGGATCAGTCCACTGAGTGACAGCCGTGTCAAAGAAGTCTTTGGCAGGATTAGTATGCACTGGCCATTTGAGGTAACGTGAGGACGGAGAGCAGGCAGGAACATACTTGTTCCGTGGTCCAATTCTTGCTATGCTCCCTGTCAGTGATCCCTTTTCAGTGATATATACATACATACATACACACATACACACACACTTCTGATGGATGCCAACTCATGTGCATGTTTCCTGACAGCAGAGTGCACACACAGATAGTAATGTAAGTGACAGGTTGATTCAACTAGCTCCCATGTATCAATGATACTCTTTCAAAGGTGGTTCTGCTCTGAAAAATGACTCAGTAAAACAGCATGGTGGGGTTCCTTATTTATTGTATCCCAGTGATTTCCAGGTCACATTTGCTCAGTTTACACGTAAAAAGCCCTTTTATCCTAACTGCGGGTCCTATAAACCAGGACTGTTGTGATTTCCCATCAACAGAAAAACACACACCCACTGGGGGAAAGAAAACACATTAAAGCTTTATGAAATGAAACTCAACACACACACAGTGTGATTCACTGTGCAAGCATATTTAATCCCCAATCTTGTCCAAAATGAATGAATAGCTTTAAGTGAGATACCAGAACATAATAACCGAGTCCCGATTCTATTTTAGACAGCAAAAGTTTTTTTACCAACTTAGTGGGTTTTCCTTCAATTAAAGCTTGGATCAAAGCAATCTGAATGGGTTAACACCACACTTGATGGATTCTGATCTGGGTGGAGGGGGGAGCAATGCTTTTAAAAATTGACAAAATTCCCAGTTCAGCTGTCCCGTCTTTTGTTGATTCCAGTAAATGGTCACATTGTTGAATCACTGATGTTGTTACTGAAAGTCCAGCTTCCAGCAGAGCTTTTGTATGGCTGTTCTTTTAAAAATGTTAAATCTAAATAAATAAGCAGCAATTTTGCCCACTCCCTATTTCCCTCTTGGCTTCCAGACACTTCGGGAATTATATCTGATCATTTTCTACCAGGTATAAACAAGAACCTTGGTGCTCTCAGGGCCCTTCCTTTTTAACATTTTAGAACAGTTAAACTTTTCATTCACAGGCTGAAATTAGAGTTTAACATTTCCAGTACCAAAAACTTTCCAAATAAATCTAATGCTCATGTAAATGCTTCATGGGACACAGACACTTTAAAAATGGAGGAAAACAACACACACAAACGTCCTGGATAGTTATTTTCTAGGGGTGGGACACCTACCTCTTCCCCCTCCCTCCCCCAACCAAACCAAAATCCACTGGAATTTACACATCCCCCAACAACCGCAATCTGGGTCCCAAACTGGGTCCTTCCTTTCTCACACACCCTCATCAGTAGTAAAAGCAGGGCAGGTAAAATTCTACCTTCCTCTGCACACCTGGACATCCCTAGGAGCCCTCAACGG